TTACCAATTGGTGGTGGTGGGTTTAACGACCCATTTTTTATATTTACGAAATCCTAACCAGAAAAACACCTATGTATGGTGTGTATACTTACAGATAGTCCCCGAGTTACGATGGTGCGACTTACGATTTTTTGATCTTACGATGGCGATACGACAACATTGTAAAATATTTTAAATTTCGTGTGGCAAGCAAACGCAGCAGCGTAAGATTTTATTGTAGTGTTACCCCGATACGTTCAATGCATGTTACAAGTTTTGTTTATAGCAGATAGGATTGTTTCCTGAAAAAAACTTTCTATTAAATTGCAGTTCATATAGGTAGGCTCAGAATTTACCTTGTTTTAACTTTACATTTTACTGTACAATACAGTATTGTAATTAATAAATACATAATACGGTATATAGTTGATACAGTACGCTACTGTAAATTGCTCTGTTTTGCTAAATTATCACCATTCTTTAAGACTCCTGGGTAGGCTAGGCCATCTTCGACTTACGATATTTTTGACTGACGATGATGGGGTCGTCGTAACGCATCTCAATCGCAAGTCGAGGACTACCTGGATTGCATTAACCCGTGTATTTGTGTGTGTGTGTCGCAGGCTGGTGGCGGTGGTTGTCGTGGTTTCCTTATTGCGCTCCAAACCGGGAGTGCCACAGTCCGCGTCCGAGCTGAGTGCTGTCGGAGCTTCCTCTCCACCGAGACCCACGCAGCCATTCTCTATCCACTGCTGCATAGAGGCTTGCAGCCCCGTATTGTCTTCCTCGTAGGGGCTCGCTAACATCGCTGTACCCAGGTGAGCATTCCGTTGTATGGCTACACAGGGGATCTTTGTCTCTGTGTTTTATCTTCGCCGAAATATGCATTTTTGAACTGGTGAAAAAAGTTATTACTTCGGTAATAGAATTGGTATGGGCCTGCCAGCTTATCGGTAGTGCGATGCAGCTCGCAATGGAGAGGTCACACATTCAAATCCGGGGTGGGGGGAGCGGGGAGGTTGACCCGGCCCATCATCTTTCTCTCCCTGGGGGTCGATAAAAATAGCACCACTTTGTGGGGGAAGTCAAGTGATTTTGTACCGTGGGTAGACTTGCCCCCGCCACACCAATGTGGAATGTCCACCGCTCGTTGCACGGGGCGGTAAAGCGGGAGATAAACACCATGGGGTCTGTCCTCTCTCGCGTGAAGGTGCATTCTGTTCCTATAATTGTACCCAGGTCTCCCGTAGTGGACGTTCGTCTGTGTGTGGGGAGCGGTGGTGTCGTGGTGAGCGCTACGCTGCTCTATAAACCCGGCGACCCGCGTTCGATTCCCGCTCACGGCCAACACCGTCAGTGACTGTTATCTGAACCTGTCCTGGGCCTCCCCTAGGTCGACTCGGCCTCATGAGTAGCTGGTGTGGTGTGTAAACATCGCCGCTGAGGAGACAAAGGCGGTCGGGCGTGGTGCTGGCCACCCACTCCCTCGTGTACCGTTCTGGCCTTCGTAGGTGCTCGCTAACAGCACTTGCCCCTACAGTCTGTTAAGGCTACGCGGGGGATCTTTGTCTTTGTGTTTGTTCCTGGTGAGTGGCTGCCGCCCGCTGTTTTCATGCGGTAAGAAGGAATGAGTGAATTGCAGTGGTACCTCGGTCTACGTCGTTAATTCATTCCAGAAGGTAGGAGGACTTGTAACGAAAATGACGTACACCAAACACATTTTTCCCATAAGACATTAAGGGAAAGGAAATGATCCGTTCTAGAGCGTAATAAATGATATTTTATGTGGCATATTATACATTAATGGGGTTGTCTAAAATAATTGAGACACTACTTAGTACTAAAATAAATGCACATTTTTTTTTACATCACTTTACCTTGCTGAAAATTCACGTTAAAATGACAAAAAACACGTGAAAATTCACAGTTGTAGCAAGGGTTGTGCACTGAACGAGATCTACAGGCAGACTGAGGAGCGGCGTTTTGTTTCAGTCGTGAACGGGGGGGGGGGGGGGGGGGTCTACGCGGGTACGCGGTGACTCATCCCGACCCATGCAAGTTCTAGCAAGCGCGTTGTATCCCAAGCAAGACGTCGTATCCTAAGACATTTTTTCTCGTCCAAACACGACGTCTACCAAATTCGACGTATTCCAAAGCGCTCGTGTACCGAGGTACCGCTGTACTTGAATGTCGCGTTGTTTATTTGGCGTGTTGGGAGTTGGTGTTTCACACCCTTGGAACAGCTTGTGCAGCATTGTGGAGGCTTTGCTTAGTCCTTGTACTTCTGCCTAGGGAGCGGGGGGGGGGGATTAGTGGGAGACCACTTTGCTGGAGTCCCAATTGCTTTGGGATTTGAGTTGCCGATTGGTGTGTGCCGTATCGCACGCCCTTGCATTGTGGCAAACGCCACAATTTTTGGACATGAAATAAATGAGAACCCACTTTAGGTGAACCCCAAAGCTATGAGCGAACGGGGGATTTGTCCTAAAGTGTAGATCTCCTGCAGCTGACGTGATGCATGGTTCATATTTTGGTTTGAACGATTTTTTTTTCAGTCCTGAAAAAAAAATTCAGTCCTGAAAAAAAAAATTCAGTCCTGAAAAAAAAATTCAGTCGTGAAAAAAAATCTTTTGTCCTCAAATAATTTATTTTTTCTCAGTCCAGAAATAATAAGAAATAAATCGCAAGTCATTCGGACTTCCTGGCTTGTTTCCGCCGTCCTGGGTCGCGTCCTGGCGATGCTTGATGCAGTTTCACAATCAGATTGTCTGAGCTCAACGTGCCTGTGAGAATTGATGCCATTTGTGCTCCGGAGCGGGTGCGGTTTTGTTTGACCACGACCCCTGCAGCCGCGAGAGGTCGCTACGTCCACTGAACGGTGACCTCCCCCCCCCCACTCCCCTCGTATTGTGACCATGTAGAGGTTTGCCCCGGAGGGAAATCGCAAAGGCTTCGTATTTACACGGTGTATAAATACAACTGCATCTCAAGACGCCACACACAAACACGGGGCGCGTTTGATTTAGTTACGAGGTCGGTGGTAAGACCCTGTCAGGCTGTGGCTCTGTGCGATTCTACGGGTCTCTGTGAGCTCATTGGCCTCTCTGCACGAGTCCATGGGTCTGTGGCAAGTCCATGGGTGTTCGTTTGCGACCCACTTTGGGTACAGTTTGCATTTTTTTTGAGACAGCTTTCGGATGCGCTTCTGCGGCCGTCTGGAACGTTCTTCCTTCCCATATTAGGAGGCCATTGGAGCTATGGACTGTTAAAAAGTCTTGATTGAAAACTCCAGTTCTTTAGAACTGCTTTTTGTTTACCTTCTCCCGCACCTCCGGTTTCGCACGGTTGGTTACGTACGGTGCGAAAGAAGCTCTGCATACACAAGTACAAAAGCGGTCGCCTCGCAAGCCGCTGTACAGAAACAGTCGGTGCGCTCGGGAAGATTTAAAGGGGGAGGCCGTGAGCTTGGGCTTGTTCTATTGGGGAGAGCCGGTGGAGGGATACGAGCGTTGGGTGACGTGGGCTCTGCAGCGATTGTGTCGTGGTGAGCGCACCGCTACGAATCTGGCGACCCGAGTTCGATTCCCGCTCGCGGCCAACACCAGGTGACGATTGCATGAACCGGTCTTGGGCCTCCCCTAGGTCGGCTGGGCCTCAAATGAGTATCTGGCGCGGTGTGTAAAAGCCACCCAGCCCCTCGTACCGTGCCGGCCTTCATAGGCACTGCTTGTGAGTAGCACTTGCCCCAATAGTGTAATGCTTTCGGGGGTCCTTTGTCTATGTTTAGGTTGACTAAGTGAAGAGATGCCGCTTGGCTTTGATTCATAATAAAGGTGTTTTGGGTTAGATCTCAAAACACAATGTGTCGTAACCCTCCACCACCCGACACGGCCAATCGGACAAAATAGTTCAATACTTTAGCCCCGGGGTGTTGAAGCGTGAAACCACAACATTTACAGTTTTTGAGTAGTACGACGTTTCGCTGGTAATTTCATCCAGCATCATCGGGCAATTTGCCAGAATGGCGATCTAAACCAAAAACCTTTTTTATTATGAATAATATTGGTCGCGAAAGCCTGCCACGTGTTAAACTCGCTTTGCTTTGCTTCGTAAGGAATGGCCAGGAACCATTCTGCTTGTCTTTGGAATGAGGGCCGTGCATCACCGCGTTTGGCAGAATTGCGTATCCTAGATCCACGACTGCTCCCATTGAGAGTCAACTTGCTTTGCCTTTATTCGATCCGCGTCTTGTTTTGTGGGTGAAACCACGTGGCGTTGTTGTTAATCCGGCTGTTACGGATTGACTTATGCAGCTCGTGAAGGATGCTAGTTTTAGTGATGTGTGTGTGTGTGTGTCGCTATTGTAAACTTTTAATCACATTTGTTGGGAAAACTGTTACGTTGTTTATATAGCATTGTTTTAGTAAGTTTTAGAGGGGCTTGGTTTGGCCCGATTTTTTTTAATTTAGTACAGATTTATACTTATAATTTTGATCTGTATTGCTATTGGGATCAAACATCGAAATGGAATGTTTTGAACTTTCTGTACGCAGCATGGACGGGTGTTGATTTTTCTGTAGGATTTTATTGTTTACGCACGCGATGTTCAGATTAGTGTACAATGAACTTTCGGTGTGTCTTGTAATTTTATTGTTTGTTGCGGTTGAACCCAAATCAAGAGCCGAATGGCTCGCAAGGTAAATCCTAATAAATGAAAACCGAAAACTGAAACTTAATTTCCCGCGCTGGAGCAGTCGCACCCAACCGTGTACCCTGGGTCATTGCGGTGTTGCCGTTACGTTTTCTTAACGCTGCTGTTAACCACCCCATTGTTTTTAAATATCAGCGGGGACCAACCTTGGTCGCCTGTACGTCGGTCGATCGACCGGCGGAACCCTGAGCGTCGTAGTCCGTGATTTTAAACTTGCACCGGCGCTGTCAACCTTGGCAGGATGTTTTACGATCTGCCTGCCCACTCTTGGAAACCGTGCCGCTGATCTTGAAGAGGAAATAAAGTCGCGGGGAGAATGTCGCTCGCGGGAGGAGATGGTGTGCGGTAGTAAGCCAGGAAACTGGTTCCAATTTTTTTATTGATAAATGATGAATGCTGCTCCAATGTGTAATTTGAAATTAATAATAGCGCCCGATGGCCAAGCATGCACCCTGGCTTTTCTCGGTGTGCAATGCCAGGTATCTCACCAGCCACTACCTACCGCACACGAGAAGGATGTTATTAATATGAGATCCCAATAGCCTCGGAGCTACAGAAACTAACGACAACATCTTAACCCCCGACTCCCCCCCTCCCCTGCATCCCTCCTCCCTGGCTCTTACCCTACATAATCGCTTGTCACATACAGCTCTCTGCCCACTAGAGTAAAACAGTGTTGCTGCGGTTGTTCCACCTGATGTCGGAGGCTTGTGTTGCCTCGGAAACGGCGTGATTTAGTTATTTTACTTTAACCTTCGTGATTTTAGCGAAAGACCCCGAGGGTCGGTGAGTAATGAGAGGTTTGTTTGGTGCGTGGGGAGACGCGACCATGCACCCCTCCTCGACTCGGTGGCGACCTTTGACATTTGAAAAGCGTCTTGAACCTAATCCTGCCGGAGTGCCGGCCTAATAATAAATCATAATCCAGAACAAGCACACGTCCCCTTCGCGAGGGCTGCTCCGTGTTTACTCCAAATTAATTTTTTTTAAAAGTCATCTCCACGTCCTGCCACGTTTATTTATTTATTTATGCCAGTCTCGCCAAAAGTCCATCGTCCCTGCCCGAGCCCAAGTCCGTTCAATGTCAATAACGTGTGTGCGTGCGTTCTCTCCTTCACGTGGCGAGTGCTGGTGCAGCGCTTGGCACGCTCCGCAAATAATCTAAGTTCTCTTGTGGTTGTTGTTGTCTGACTTGCATCCCACTGGGATATTTGCACAGGGTTGGTGTACGGTGATTTTTCTGCAATATTTTGCCGTCTTTTCTTGGATTTTCTATTTGCACATAGTCACTTTAAGATGTTTTCTTGTTCATGTTTTTGTTTTTTGTTTGCTGCGGTTGCACCCGATTCAAGAGCCGAATGGCTCACAGGGCTCTATACCTAATAAATGAAACTTTAAACTTTAAAAATCACCCGGTGACCCCCGAGTTCCATTCCCGCTCGCTCCCACCACCCCGCTAACGATGATCTGAGCCGGTCCTGAGCCGACTCTGCCTCCAATGAGTGCCCGGTGCCGTGTGCGGTGAACGTCGCCACCGGGGAGACAAAGGCGGCCGGGACGCGGTGCCGACCCCCACCACCTCGCAGGTGCTGCTTGCTACCGGCACTTGCCCCGGCAGTGCGTGGAGGCTACACGGGGGATGTGATTCCGAGGCTTTCCACACCGCCTCCACGCACTTGTTCGTTACCCCGCGTAATTGCGAGGTTCACTGCGGTTTCCGCGGTCTTGTTTGTTGCCCGCTACTAAAGATGCCCTCCGTTGACCTGGATCGTGTGTGGTGTGGGTACGTGCGGCACTGCATGCTGCTCGTGCCGTGCTATAAATAGTGCACGCTGGCGTGTGCACGTATTGTCCACACTTGCGCGCACACACGTGCACTGGCACGTGTGTAGCTTTAACGGGCAGTCGGCAAGTGCTGTTAGCGAGCACCTAGTTTAAGGTCGGCACGGCAGGGCGTGGTTTAGCCGGTTCCACGCCCACATCAAAGATAAAGACAAACATCCCCCGTGTAGCCTTAATAGGCTGCAGAGGTAAGTGCTGTTAGCGAGCATCTAATGAAGGCCTGAACGGTACACGAGGGGGTGGGTGTCCAGCACCACGCCCGACCGCCTTTGTCTCCCAGTGGCGATGTTTACACACCGCACCAGGTACTCATTTGAGGCTGAGTCGACCTACGGGAGGCCCGTGACCGGTTCAGATAATCGTCACTGGTGGTGTTGGCCGTGAGCGGGAATCGAACTCGGGTCGCCGGGTTTGTAGCGCAGCGCGCTAACCGCTGCACCACCGCTCCCCACGCGCCCACATAAGCCCATGCACGCGCACACTCGCTCTCTCAAACGCGCGCACAAATACTTGCGTGCGTACAATGTGCGTGTGTGTGTGTGTGTGCGTGCGTTTGTGTGCGCTGCGCTATGAACCCGGCGACCCAAGTCGGATTCCCACCCAAAAGTTGGTGACCAATGTCTGGACCGGTCTTGGACCTCGGCTCTGTTGACGGAGCCTCAAACGAGTACCCGGTGCGTAAGCATCGCCGCTGGGTACTCTACAAAGGCAGTCGGGCCTGGTGCTGGCCACCCACCCCCTCGGTGTGCCTTTGCCGGCCTTCATAGGTGCTCGCTAACAGCCCTTGCCCCAACAGTCTGAAGGCTCTACTGGGGGTCTTTGCCTGCGCCCGTGTGAATGTCTGTGTCTTTGCCCGTGTGCAGGCTCGGAGTTTGCAACGAACAGTGGTGACAACGCTTGCCCTGACGTCCTGTTGCGGCTGTATGGGGAGGGCGGCGGGGGGGTGTATCTTTGTCGCGTGTGTGTTTGTGTGACAGGTTTACGCGAGCCCCGGTCTGACCTTGCTGTTGTGGAATCGCGTTCAAGTGGCGTTGTCTCCACCATTGCCCCACTGCGACCATTGCAGCCGCCCCCTACCCCTCGCGGTAGCAACAACAACAACAACAGCGGCTGCCTTTATTTAGCGTGCAGGTGCGACGGGGACGGCCAACTCGGCGTGGGGTGAACTCTGGGCGGGCGAGCGGGGTGGGTGAGCGGGGCGGGCGATCTGCTGTTGCGCAAGGGCGCCGCTGCGCCTCTGCCGTGTCTAATGTGAAACGTGTGGCCCAGTGTTGCGTGCTTTTGTTATTTTCCCTTCCCCCCCCCTCCCCAATTGGCTCCTGCGGTGTGAACTTGCGTGGCCTTTGACTGTGGATAACGTGCGATGTCGTCCGATTATCGCAAGCCGAGCAGCTTGTAAGAATAATAACAACCCCGCGCGTAGTGGGTAGTCGTAGGTTTTAGCGGCCGAAATAATTCGTTTGAAATGTTTTTATTGTTTCCCCCCCCCCCCCCCCCCTGTTTTTGGGCCACGTAAAATTATCCGGTCCAAATTTGTGTCCGTTGAGGTGACCACGGCCAAAGACCTTGAATTGCCATGTGATGTGACCGACCGGCGCTTAATGACGCGCCGTTTGTATTGTCGTTTTCGCCTAAATTGGAAACTCTTGGGTTGGTGAGAAAATAATTTCCATTTTGCAAATGGAGGTAGATGTCTCGTGTGTGTGTGTGTCGCACGATTCTAGACGGTGCTAATTCAAATTTAGATGGCGACCTTTTGCGTGTGTGCGGTGGCATGTGTGTGCGCGTGCGTGTCCCACTTGGCTGGTTTAGAGGAGCTCGCAGATCCGTGAGAGATCTGGACACGGTCCCATCATCGGCGAGCTCCTCCGGCAAGCAAAGTTGCATTTTTAGCTGCGTTGGTCATGCAGCTAAAAATGATGCGGTTCACAAGGATGTGGAGCCGAGTGGACTTGCCGATGACCGGTACCAGCGGTGTCAAGATCGGCCTCTGGAGGAGGCTCGTGAAGGACTCTACAGGGCAGTTGGGGGCAGTCGCCCTCCAACAGCAACTGAGGGCGGAGGAGCGACGCTCACAACAACGAGCGGAGCTCCGCGTGTCAGTAACACCGCTCGGTGTGACGCGCCGGTCTTGGTAGACGCTCGCTCACCGCACTCGAGCCCCAGGAGTCGTGTGTGCAGCGTTGTGGAGCTGTGTGTGGTTGTACGGGCGGAGTTGTCAGCCCGTGAAGAGCCCATGTGCATCCATGGCTTGCTTGTTAACAGTTGGCGTTGGCCGGGTGCATGGGCCAGCAACGCGTGGTGGGCGAATGGGGCGGGGGGCGGTGTTTTGGTGGTTGCGAGTGGCTGCGTCAAAATGTGGGTCATGGGTGAGCTCCAGTGTGGGTTGTGAGCTCTGTGCGGGTGGTTGTGTGGAGTCGCAGTGTGTCTTTGGTGGGTGTGTGAGGAGGCGGCTGTGTGGTTGGTGGTGAGGGGTGGGTTTTTATTTTATTTAATACTCCTATTCAGAGTCTCACGGCTCTTGTCAGGAGGGTTGCCAAGTTTTGGCAGTGGTGGGGATCGATGCTGCTGCTGCTGCTGTGTGATTCCCAACGGAGTAAATGTCGTGCGGTATTTAGTTTTCCAAATTTGGATTCTGACACCACGTGGGTCTTTAATGTCCGCTCTGTAGCGGACGACGGCACCGCCTTGCGGTTCGTGAACGCCGCGGTATTAACCAGGGCAGCCGCCGAGTTGAAACAATTTTTTTTTCTCTCTGGTAAAGCCCCACTTAGATATGTAGCTCCCCTGATTTTTCAGAAGCAACCTGGCCACAAATGATGGCTCAGCAGTTTCGTTATCACGTGGCAATGTACAGCAGCCAAATGCTCTAAACGCGTGATGTTGATTTTCTAAATGTGGAGGAGGGAAACAACTGGAAATCTACGGGGAGAGAGCGAGAGACGCAAGCTCCAAATATACAGCAGCAGCAGCAACAGGCATCGTCAGAGTGGGGATGGAGCCCACAACCTCTTGCATACCAGGCGAGGTAGTTAACATCTCCTAGCCACTGTGATCGATGAGAGAGAGACGCACATTCCAAATCTACAGCAGTAGCAGCAGGCATCGTCGGTGTCGGAATTGAACCCACGACCTCCTGTAGACCAAGCGAGGTAGTTAACATCTCCTAGCCACTGTGGTGATGAGAGAGACGCAAACTCCAAATCTACAGCAGCAGCAGGTATCGTCGGGGTTGGAATTGAACCCACGGCCTCCTGTAGACCAGGCGAGGTAGTTAACATCTCCTAGCCACTGTGATGATGAGAGAGAGACGCAAATTCCAAATATGCAGCAGCAGCAACAGGCATCGTCGGGGTCGGAATTGAACCCACGACCTCCTGTAGACCAGGCGGGGGAATGTGAACTGCTGCAACAAGCTGCAAATGCCGCCACCACCTGTGTCGTTCCCCGCGGGTGACACGTTTGAGTGGTTTGGGGGGGGGGGAGATGGTGGGTGGCGTTTGCGAACGAGGTGGGTTGTGGCTGCGGGTCGCGGGATGTGTTTTGCAGACGAGGTGAGGTGGGGGGTGGTGTGTGAGTGGGTGAGGTGGTGGGTGGGTTTATGATTATGGAGTCGTGTGTGGATTGGTCTATTAGTGGGGGTGTTTTTGTATGGAGGTTGTACCTGGTGCGGTGTGTGTGTGTAAAGATCACCACGCGGACGTACGTACGTTGGGGCTGGCCAAACCCAGCCCCGTCTTGTGCCGTTCCGGCCTCCCATCATAGGTGCTCGCTAACAGCACTTGCCCCCAAAAGTCGGTGAAGGCTATACGGGGGGAGGGATCTTTGCCTTCCTTTCTATGGGTAAGCGAGGTGGGGTATTGGGTTAGAGGGTGAATGAAATGGGTGGGTGGGTGGGTTATGGGGTGCCGTGGGAGAGTGAGGTGGGTGGGTGGGTGGGTTATGGATGGGTTAGTGGGTGGGTGGTGGTGAGTGGGTTATGTGGTGGTGGGTGGTGGTGAGTGAGTGGATGGTGGTGAGTGAGTGGGTTATTGGGTGGTGGTGAGTGGGTTATTGGGTGGGAGGGAGGGTGGGTGGGTTGGAGTAAGCGAGTGAGTTTTTGGGTGGGAGGGTGGATGCTTGGCCTGGGTGTGCTAGTGGTGGGAGGATGGGTGCGCGGTGTCGGTATGTGGTCGATGATATTTTCTGGCTGTACTTCTGCGCAGCGGATTTTGTTTCTTGCTGAGCTCGTGCCGTGCGTGCCGCTCTCTGCCTGTGCGTCGGTGTGGTCGGCGTCCGGCCTGTGCCCGTTCGTCATTCCTCTCTGTGTGTGCGCGTGGACCTTGAGTGCGTGGTCGGTTCGTGAATACCTGCTTGTGTTTGTGCGCGCGCGTGTGTGTCTGTACAGGAGGTTGTAGGAGGCGTCCGTACGCGTGTGTGTGCACGCGTGGCTATGTCTGCCCATCAACCACCCATGGTGGGCAGGAAGGGCCATGGGGGAGGAGGAGGGACGGCGACGACGGCTGCGCCGCTGGCGATGTCTTCGACGCCGCCGCTCGCCCCGGCGCTGCCCGGCAAGGGCGTCGGGAGCGGGGGCCACGGCCGGCGGGAAGCGCGGTACAAGATCGGCCACTACAGCCTCGGCGACACGCTCGGGGTCGGCACGTTTGGCAAGGTCAAGGGTAGGTCTCTCTCGTGCGGCGCGCGCACGTTCAAGTACACGCACACGGGCACGCGTACAAAGACAAAGATCCCCGTGTAGCCTTGGCAGACTGTTGAGGCAAGTGTTGTTAGCGAGTAACTCCTTTATGAAGGCCGGCACGGCACACGAGGGGGTGAGTGGCGAGCACCGCACCCGGCCGCCTTTGTCTCCCCAATGGCGAAGTTTATACAACCGCACCAGGTACTGATTTGGGGCCGAGTCGACCTAGGGGAGGCCCAGAGCTGGTTCACATCTCAGCAGGGAATCGAACTCTGGTCGCTTGGTTGGTTTGTGTATAACAAGTGCACGCTCGCATAAACGCGCGTGCGCACATACACGTGGATGCACGCCAAGTTCAATGCATGCTAGCAGCACTTGCCCCCAGCGGTCTGCTAAAGGCTACATGGGGGGGGGGGGGGGGAGGGATCTAAGTCTTGATTACCGTGTGTTTGTGTGCGTGCGTGCGTGGACACTCGAACGTGTCCGTCTATACGCTGCTGCGTGTGTGTGAGCTCGTGTCTTTGTACACGAGCGATGGGGGGGGGGGGGGGAATGTCGCGCGTGTCCGGTTTTTAATTTTGAAAGCGCGATATTAAACCCGCGTGGGGGGGGAGCGGTGGCACGACGGTCGGACCCCTCTGTTCGAACCCCCGGTCACGGTCCTCTGTTCGAACCCGGTGACTCACCCCCCCCCCCCAGCTCGCCATAGCAAGGTGGAATTTCCTCCACTGCCTCCCAGGGCTGCTGTACACATTAGATGACATTTCTTCCCACCGCTTGCATCTTCAGTGTTGTCACCCGGAGTCGAGGTGTAGGGTCTCGCTTCCCCGTCCCCCACCTTCTTCCAACCTTTGACTCCTCTGGGGGTGGGAGACCCTTTTTGCTTGGCAGTGTCCTTCCCGGCCCAGGCTGCTGTGGGATCGGCTGGGCTGTCGGCATCCCCGTTCCCCTCGTGCCGAGTGAGGATCGGCGTTTTTAGTTTCCAACACCCCGAACTCCACCGTCGTTTCATTTGCCGGACGAGAAACGTCGCTCTCACGTCGCGCTCGTCCATTGCACACGCCGATGTGCTCGCCGCAAATGAACCGCGATGCCTCGCCGCCGCTCTCTCGTCGTGGAGGTGTGAACCATCGTCGCGCGATCTGCGGTCAGCCTCGCAGCCTCGCAGCCTCGCAGCCTCGCAGCCTCGCAGCCTCGCAGCCTCGCAGCCTCGCAGCCTCGCAGCAGTAGCGGCAGTAGCGGCAGTAGCGGCAGTAGCAGCAGTAGCAGCAGTAGCAGCAGTAGCGGCAGCGGCGGCGGCAGCTTTTGGCTGCCAAGTCATCGAACAAAGACGGTGGTTGCCGCATCGCGGCGCTTTCAGATGCGCTTCTGCGGCCGTCTGGAACGCTCTTCCATTCCGATTATTAGGAAGCCACTTGGAGCGATGCGCTTTGATATCATCGTCGAGATTGACAGACTCGTTTCTTCAGGACTGCGTTTTTTGTTTTCCGTTTGTTCCTTCCCTGCTCACCTCTGATTTTGGCAACGTACGGTGCTAACGAAGTTTCAACGTACACATGCCGTAGTCCAGTCCGCTTCTTTGAGTTCCCGTTCACGTGAGCATTGAGCCCATTGGTGCTCTCTCACCCTGCAGAGCCAGGGTGGAAATTCCACGTTCCTGTGACGGGGTGCCGGGGTGCTCCGCTACGGTATTCTCCGTGGGACACCGAGCATTGTCGACTTGGCCACGGAAAGTTCCTCTTTAGATTTTTCAAGTAGATTTCTTGTGTCACCAGCTGTGGGACTCTTGAGAGACCAGGGCAGGAGTCTCCATTGGCAACTTTGTTGTCACGGAAATGGGGGTGGGCGGGGGGGAAGCAACGTGTATTAAAACGAAGGAAGTAGAAACATCGGAGCAAAATAAACTCTGTCGCTTGAGAAACGTGTCAACACAAACCCGCGTGTGTTTTTTATTTAAATACTACATTCCTGGGCAGATAGTTAGACCCACCGCAGCACAAGTGCAACATTAAGTTACAGTAACGGATATGCGGGTTGGGCTTGGGGGGGGGCGGGGGGGGGTTTGTGTTCCAGGAATGTGTTAAACAGAACAATAAATGCCTGTTGGTCATATCTCCCGTGACTCTGAGTAAATAAACAACAGATTTTATTTCATTAATCGTCAAATGCAAGCGATACCTGTTTTACCCGCTCCGGGAGGGATGATGGGCCGTGTCCAACCACACCCCCCATGCCCCCAAACCAGGATTTGACCCCGTGATTGCGAGCGGCTCTCTGCTCCCCGCCGAGGCTCCCGCCCACCGCCGTGACCTCTCGCCGTGACCTCTCGCGGTTTCTTTACAAAAAATATTTCTTTCAAAAATCTTCCCGCTGATGGGGCCCCCCCCCTCCCCGCCCCGAGTTATCTTCCCCGTCCGGAACCGGAGTGGCTCTGCTGTCCGTGGGCCCGAGGCTCACTCAGGCCCCTAACGAGTCGCGCTCGGCCTGCCGGCCACGTGCCCAAACGTCGTCCTGCCTCCGTGTGCGTTCGTTGTTTTTGTGTGGCCTGTGCGTGCGCTCCGTGAGACCTGAACCGGTTTTTGGGCGCTTCCCCCTAGGTAGACTCGGCCTCAACGAGTCGTGCTTTAGCGCGGTGTATAGAAACCAATATCATCCAGAATAGAGGTTGTTTTGGGTTGGATTGCGTATAAATATCTATCTAAATGTGTCGTTGAAACCCACCACCTCCTGACAAGGCCAACTACTAAGCCTGTGTTGGGCCACACGGGCGATCATTCTGTCGGGTGGTGAATATGACGATAGCGGTGGAGGTGACCGATTTTTACACACCGTGCCAGGTACTCTCCATTTTACAGGCCGAGTCGACCTAGGGGAGGCTCTGTCCAGTCACCGTTTGAGATCCTTCACTCCTGTCATGGCCGTTAGCTGGGTAATCGAGCGTGGCTGTGCTGGGTCCGTCGCGCGGCGTGTGCTAACCACGACACCACCACCGTTGTTGGTCTGTGCCGAGCGCGTGTGGCACATGCGTCGCTCGCATGTTGGCGTGTCGGCGACTCTGTTGAAACCAAAACCTGAAAAGCAAACGGGATGAGAAGGGGGGGTCTGCTGGCCGGAGGAGGAGCGCCGTGCGGGGTTCAGTTGCTGGGCCTGGGGTGGGCCTGCGGGCACGTAGCGTGGTGTGGTTTGCTCTTACGGTGTTAGGGGTGCGGGCGGAGTGTCTAATTCTGGTTGGGGATGAGTTTGTTTGTTCGGGCCAGTGTTGGAGACTAGTATGGTGGTTCGTGTGCTGGGGGGGGGGGGGGGGGCAGTTGACTAGACGGTCGTTCCTCGACGGCACGCGGTGGCACACGGTGTCACACGATGGCACTCGATGGCACGCGATGGCACACGGTGTCACACGATGGCACGCGATGGCACGCGGTGGCACATGATGTCACGCGATGGCACATGATGGCACTCGATGTCTTGCTCCAAGTGGGCATCGTGGCTAGGCCTGCATCCTGCTTGGATCACGTGGGTAGGGGGCTCGGATATCAGGTTTTTTGTCTCCCCCCCGGCTATCAGTTTTCCCCCTTTTCCGAGAATCGCCACCACCACCCTGGAACCGCCGGTTCTCTCCGCCGGTCGTGAACCCGAGCAACCCTGATCCGAGCAAAGTGCATCTCGCTCACACGGCCAGGAACGACTGCCGCCCCCCCCCCCCCCGCCATGTGTGTGTGTGTACACGGCCGTGCGGTAGTGTAGCGCTTAGAACGTTGCCCAACCCGGCGACCCCGAATTCGATGTTCTGCTCGCGAGGTATTTGAACCGGTCCTGGGGTTCCCTCGATCTACTCGGCCTTAAAATGGTGTGGCGTGTTAGAACAACAACAACAAGAATAAATCCACACTTGGGGGATCCAATGGCGGCCGGGCGCGGTGCCGATCAACCCCCCCCGCGCCTCCGTAGATGTGCCGGCCTTTATCGGAGCTGCTCTCTAACATCACTCGCCCCCGTGGGTACGGCCAAGACTCCGCGCTTGGGGGTGTGCGGGGGGGAGGGGGTCTTGGCTACGCACGGAGAAACCTCCTCCTCGTGCGGCGACGTTGGAACTGGGACGCGAGCGTTGCCGTGACGTTTGTGTGTCCGTGCGGTGGTTGTTTTGTATTTCTGCTTGTGTACCCAACGTGCTTTTTCAGGAGAGCCCTTTGCCAAGTCTTCACCATCGGAGGCTGATTATTGCTGCGTTTTACCTGTTTTGTTGCGATTTTCATGATTTCGGTAATGCTCCAGCGGGGTGCGATTGGACCGCAGCCCCAAGACCTGCCCCCCCCCCCCCCCGGTGTAGGTGCACCACGAGCTTTCGTTTTTGTGGTTGTAAAGTTTTCGTGGCTGTCCGCATGCGCCTGTGCGCATCTGTGTAATACGTGACGCTTGTGACATTTGGGCGACTGCAACCGGACACCCATCGCCACCCCCCCCCAGCTCCGGCCCCACGGGTGATGTGTAGCGGCAGAAGGCGCCATCTGTCCGTCCGTGTGTCGCTCGCTTGCGTGCGTGCGTACGTACGAGTCCTTTGTGCCTCCGTTGCCTCCTCGATCCCGTGTCCACTTGTCTCTGTGTTGGTGTTTTGGGTCCATCCCATCGGTGTGCGTGTCCGTCCGTCTGTCCCGTCGCTCCGTCTCCCCGTCCTACCGCACGTCACACGATCCCCTGTTGGGTCCGCTTGGTCGGCCCGTGCGTGGCTGCTTCTGTAAAAGAGAGCTCCTATATTGCTCCGTTGGGACCTTACCTTGTAAATAAAAAATAGTGGCCTGGCCTTCGCTTGGTTGGCCCCGCGTGGCTCGCATCGATCTGCGATGCATGGGGGGAGGGGAATTGGGGGTTCTGCAAACCACGTGCTTTTTACTAATAGTCCAATGGCCTTGGGTTTACTTTATCCAGTGGCTGTTATTTATTGGTGCCGGGTGCACGTGTACTTGGATGTGGGGTCTTCGTTCCCGCTCGCCTGCGAGTCCGTGCGTGTGCGGCCGTGGTGCTGGCCCCCCACCCCCCTCCCGTGTGCCGTGCCGGCCTTCGTCGGCGTCTCCTGGGGAGCGGTGCCTCCCTCACAGCGGCACTTGTCTCGCCAGCGGTGGCGTGCAGAGTTGGGCGCATCGCGATACCAACCCGGCGATCCGGACGTCCGCTGGAAAATCCCGGAACCGATCCTGGGCCTCTCCTCGTAAGCTTGACTTTGGCCTTTTAAAACATTTTTTTATAACCGAACCGAGCACCTGGTGCGGTGCGTAGAAACATCGGCACCGGGGAGACCCAGGGGGCCGTGGTCTTGACCGCACCACCCTCGTCTTGCGCCTGCGTGTCCGTGTGTGGATTCCGATTGGGTGCTTGTGAGTGTTGGCCCGCTCCTCCTCGGTTCGGGGCGGGGGGTTGATTGCCTGTCCATCCTTCTCTGGGTCGATTTTTAACCGAGTACCACCTTGCAGGGAACTGAACGGTGATCGTCCTGTGGTTATGGTTATACTCTGCTCCGTCCATAGGAATGTGGAATTTCCACCACGGGGCAGTGAACGGGAGAAACGGCATCGATTCCTCGTTCAGGAACACGACATCTCTTCTTTGACTCTTGCCTCTACTTTGGCTGCCCCAGTGGTCCGTGAGCCAACGCAGAGGGGGGGCGGGGGGGGGTGGCGAATCTGTGTGTGCGTGCGCGTGGCGGCTGTGCTTTCTGTTGACCTCCGTTGCGTCACACGATGTCCGAGCCGCCAGGAGCCGGCAACACAAACGCAAGCGATCGCGGTGTCCACTAACGTCGCCACGTCGTCGTCATCCACACCGCCATCATCGCTGCCACCAAAGACAAACATCCCCACCCTTCCCATGCAGCCACACTCCGACTGCTGTGGAAATAGAAGTGCTGTTAGCGAGCGGCCAGCACGGCACTGCTGCCCCTCTTTGTAATGAACCCTACGGGGTCAGAGGTCGATGCCCAGGCCACGGCTGACTAAGTGGCGGGGTGATTTTATTGGAATCGGTTCTGCCACCCCCCTGGATGCCACCGTTGACACGGACAGAGAGAGATGCACTCCGCAGACCTACACGAGGACTGTGCAGATCCTCGCAGGGATGAACGCACGCATACATGGGCGGGCGGACGGATGTGCGTGCGGGCGGCCGGATTGGTGAGGCGAGCGTAGCAGCCGGCAGGTGGGCGAGCGTGTGGCGTTGGGCGGGCGTGTGACCGAGGGACACGGCGAGCGTCTGTGGGCGGTGCGTGCGTGGTGCGTGTGGCGGTGACCGAGGGATACGGCGAGCGTCTGGGCGGTGCGGTGCGTGGTGCGTGTGGCGGTGAGCGAGGGACACGGCGAGCGTCTGGGCGGTGCGGTGCGTGGTGCGTGTGGCGGTGAGCGAGGGACACGGCGAGCGTCTGGGCGTGGTGCGTGTGGCAGTGGGCGAGCACGAGCAGACCGGGTGCAAGGTCGCCGTGAAGATCCTCAACCGGCAGAAGATCCGCAACCTGGACGTGGTGAGCAAAATCAAGCGCGAGATCCAGCACCTCAAGTTCTTCCGCCATCCGCACATCATCAAACTGTGAGTGCACGCACGCTCGTGTCGCCAACAGCACACGTGCGGTGCGGAAAAAGTTCGACAATCATCATTTAGGAGCACACACACACACTCACTCGCTTGCACAAGCACATCATCACACGGGGCACGCACACACGCTCAATGCACTCGGCGTGTGTTGCGTGCGCAGGTACCAGGTGATCAGCACCCCCACCGACTTCTTCATGGTCATGGAGTTTGTGCCGGGAGGGGAGCTCTTTGAGTACATCTGCAGGAACGGGCGCGTGAGTCCCGCACCCTCCCCGTGCTCGCCGCTGGTGACCATGCTGGAACTCCCCCCCCCCCCCCCTCTCTCCACGAGGTCGTCGTCGTGTTTTTGGGACCAATGGGCGGGGGGGTGGCAGTGGGGGGGGTGGCTTCCTCTCCCGTGCTGGACTCGCTGTCTGGAGCGTCGTGCTGTGCGGGAGATCTCGGCTGTGTGTGTGCGCGTGTGTGTGTGCGTGCGTGTGTGCGCGCGTGTGTGCGCGTGCGTGTGCGTGTGTGTGTGTGTGCGTGCGCGTGTGTGTGTGTGCGCGCGTAAACGGAGGGAGCGGCGGCGCCTTGGTTAGCGGGGACTGCGCTACGAACCCGGCGAGCGGAGCTCTATTCCCGCTCGTGGCCATCGTTGGTGACGAATTCATGAACCGAACCTTGGCCTCCCTTTTTAAATCCTTTATATTAAGTTCACTTGCTTGCTTGCTTACGACTGTGCATATTTTCGGTCGTTTTTTAACCCACTTCCCGTGATCCAATCGAGCTGACATTTTGCACACAGACTCGTTGTGCGTGACAATGTATTTTCGTGAAAAAAAAATTCCAAAATTTTACACTTTTTAGGAAAAAATAAATTATATTTAATTACCAATTGCTTAATGGTGGCAGCCATTCATCTAACCCATAGGTGGCAGCCATCTCAAGCCAGAGGACGAGAGGACTCTAGCCACCACGCATATAAAGGATTTATAGTGAAAAACTTTGTTTTTACGGGTTAATTTTTTAAAGTGTCAAAGCAATACAACAATCGGCACCGGGGGGACATGGGAGGCGACTGGCCTGGGCATGGTGCTGGCCACCCCAAACCCTCGTGCGCCGTGCCAGCCATCCAGAGCTGCTGCTGCTACGATGAGCCAACAGCACTTGCCCCAGCAGTCCGTTACCCGTTTTTTATTTTTAAGCGCAACCTTGCCAAGCCCCACACCCTTTGCCCTGCTGCTCCCAGTTGCCGGAACATTGGTGCCGGACAGAAGCTCCCTAACTCGCTCTGCTGTCCGGATATGGAACTGCCTCCCCGATTGACACCTTTGCCGGCGCCCATCATCACCGATTCTGGTCTTTCGGGCCTTCGAAATCCGAGAAACACGCCTGGGACAATCGCCTAACTTCACCGCACGCCTTTTGTAGTGAACCGGTGATTCTGCCCGATTTTTATTTATGTTTTAGATGTTACTAATGTCTGAATATGGCCGTTGTTCACAATTGCACCGAATAATCATGATAAACGGCTAATACGGTGGTAAAGCCTTTTGGTAAAAGCACAAAAAATCGCCACCTTGGAGACTGAGGTGTGGTGCTGGCCACCCATTGCTGCTGCTGCTGCTGCTACTGGCTAATGGCACTTGCCCCAGCAGTCTGTTAAGGCTATAAGTCCGTGTATGTGGGGAGCCGTTGGCACGCTGCGCTACGAACCCGGTGACCCAAGGTTCGATTCCCGCTCACGGCCGACACCACAGTGACGATTACCTCAACCGGTCCTGGGCCTCCTCCCCTAGGTCGTTTCAGCCTCAAATTAATATCTGGTGTGGTGCGGAAAATCGCCACTGGAGGGGGGCGGTGTGGTGCTGGCCACCGACCCCCTCGTGTGCCGTACCGGCCTTCGTCGGTGCTACTCGCTAACGGCGCTTGCCCCAGCGGTCCGTTGAAGGCCTCTCCGGGGGTTGGGGGGATCCGTGTCTCCTCCGCAGGTGGAGGAGCGAGAGGCACGCCGCCTCTTCCAGCAGATCCTGTCGGCGGTGGACTACTGCCACCGGCACATGGTGGTCCACCGTGACCTCAAGCCCGAGAACGTGCTGCTCGACGCCAACATGAACGCCAAGATCGCAGACTTCGGTAAGCGCCCCCCCCCCCGTTCGTTCCGTTTTTTGTTATTTCGGTGCTTCCGGCGCTGTTGCGGCTTCGATTTCCAACCCCGACGATGCCTGCTGCTGCTGTATATTTTTAGTCTGCGTCTCTCATCAACATCACGGTGGCTAGGAGATGTTGACTACCTCGCCTGACATGCAGGTGGTTCGGGTTCGATCCCAACCCTGGACGATGCCTGCTGCTGCTGTATATTTGAAGTCTACCAATCGTTCTCTCTCTCTCTCCCCGTGTTGCGTGCATTTTTCTCAGGGTCCTCCTGTTTTTCCCTCCACATAGCTGTTACTATAAATTTCCACTTTGATAAGCTATCATGATTTTTTCATGGCCAGGTTGCTTCTGAAAAAGAACTAATACATTGCTCGGCTTGGTGCCTTACCTGATGAAATAAAAAATACTTTTTGTAAAGTTTCTTTTCTGGGCTCTCGGGCCCAAAGACATCCGTCAACAAACGACACCGGCAGAGTTTGTAATTGGTAACCGGCACTAAACTATTAAACTATTGTTTAGTGGAGCCGAGCGGTGATGGAACCCCAACGGGTACCATAGCCCTGACCCCCCCAGCAGTCTTTAACGATTTAAACTCTTTTTAAATCCTTTATATTAAGTTCGCTTGCTTGCTTGCTTACGACCGTGCAAATCTTTCGGTCGTTTTTTAACCCACTTCCCGTGATCCAATCGAGCTGACATTCTGCACACAGACTCGTTGTGCGAGACAATTAATTTTCGTGAAATTTTTTTCTCCAAAATTTTACACTGTTTAGGGAAATAAAATTAAATATTTAATTACCAATTGCTTAATGGTGGCAGACAATCATCTGACCCATAGGTGGCAGCCATCTCAAGCCAGAGGACGAGAGGACTCTAGCCGCCACGCATATAAAGGATTTATAGTGAAAAACTTTGTTTTTACGGGTTAATTTTTTTATTTTGCCAGGTAAGGCTTACTGAGTGATGCAGCTCTTTTTCAGAAGTGCTCACAAATGATAACTCAACGAAGTGGCTTATCACGTGGACATTTATAGCAGCCAGTTACTCGAACCGCATGCCGATTCTATATGTGGAGGGGGGGAAACCGGAGGAACTGAGCAGGAAATTCACACGACCCACGGGGAGAGAGGTGGGCGCACTGCAAATATACAGCGGTCGGGATCACACTCGCGCGACCTGCATGCCAGGCGAGGTAGTTAACATCTCGCCGCCGCGGATTTACTTGGCCCATCATCCTCCTTCCCAAGGGATGATAAAGCCAGCAGCGCTTTGCGGGGAAGTCCATTTAAAAATGTGGAATTTCCTGCACCCTGGTTCGTGGCTTCTGACGCGATGGCTGGCGTGAGGTGTGCAGTGCTCCATGGCAAGCGTGTGTGTCCCCCCCCCCCCCCTTCGTAGGTCTCTCCAACATGATGTCGGACGGGGAGTTCCTGAGCACCAGCTGTGGCTCCCCAAACTACGCTGCCCCTGAGGTCATCTCGGGCAGGTACGAGTGCCCCCCCTCCCTCGCCCACCCCCCACTCCCTGCCTCATCTGTCCCGTGGCACTCCCGTGCACGTGTCTCCGTGTGTCCCTCCTGCACCCTCGCTGCGAGTCTCCCTTGTCCCCGCGTCTCTGCCTTGCCTGTCTGCCCATGTAGGTCTGTCCCCGCGTCTCACCCGTGTGTGTGTCGTGTGTCGTGTCTCCATGTCTCTCCCTTTCCCCGTGCGTCTTCGCGATCCCGTGTCTCTCCACCCCCGTCTCTCCACCCCCGTGTCTCTCCACCCCGTGTCTCTCCACCCCGTGTCTCTCCACCCCGTGTCTCTCCGCGTCGCTGCACTCCGACTCTCGGCTCATTGTCCCCACCCGCCGTGTCCCGCAGGCTGTACGCGGGCCCCGAGGTGGACATCTGGTCGTGCGGCGTGATCCTGTACGCGCTGCTGTGCGGGGCGCTGCCCTTCGACGACACCAACGTCCCCGCGCTGTTCCGCAAGATCCGGGGGGGGGTCTTCCACGTGCCCCCCCACCTCGACGCCGACGCCGCAGATCTCCTGGCCGAGATGCTGCGAGTCGACCCCGTGAAGCGCGCCACCGTCCGCGACATCCAGTACGCACGCACACACGCGTGTTCTCGTGTGTGTGTGTGATATCCAGTACGCACGCACACACACACACACGCGTGTTCTCGTGTGTGTGTGTGTGTGATATCCAGTACGCACGCACACACACACACGCGTGTTCTCGTGTGTGTGTGTGTGTGTGATATCCAGTACGCACGCACACACACACGCGTGTTCTCGTGTGTGTGTGTGTGTGTGTGATATCCAGTACGCACGCACACACACACGCGTGTTCTCGTGTGTGTGTGTGTGATATCCAGTATGCACGCACACACACACGCGTGTTCTCGTGTGTGTGTGTGTGTGATATCCAGTACGCACGCACACACACACGCGTGTTCTCGTGTGTGTGTGTGTGATATCCAGTACGCACGCACACACACACACGCGTGTTCTCGTGTGTGTGTGATATCCAGTGCGCACGCACACACACACGCGTGTTCTCGTGTGTGTGTGTGTGTGTGCGTGATATCCAGTACGCACGCACACACATGCGTGTGTTCTCGTGTGTGTGTGTGCGTGATATCCAGTATGCACGCACGCGTGTTCTCGTGCGTGTGTGTGTGCGTGATATCCAGTATGCACGCACGCGTGTTCTCGTGCGTGTGTGTGTGCGTGATATCCAGTACGCACGCACACACGCGTGTTCTCGTGTGTGCATGCACGCTGGATGTCGCGCACATGCTTGTGTGTACAGTGATACCTCGGTTCACGAACAACTCGGTTCACGACCAGAAAATTTCATAAAGATATGCTTCGGTTCATGAACTCCGCTTCGGTTCACGAACAGGAGTATGACTTCGTCAAGGTAAAGTTCCTCCCCCCCAACACAACACCACTTCTGCAGCCCATGGACCAGCAAGTCATCTGCAACTTCAAGAAGCTGTACACAAAGGCGCTCTTCACTAGGTGTTTTAATGTCACTGAAGAGACGTCCTTGACTTTGAAAGACTTCTGGAAGAAACATTTCAATGTTGTCCACTGCATTAACCTCATTGACAAAGCCTGGGAAGAGGTCACTCCCCGAACCCTAAATTCAGCCTGGAGGAAACTGGCCAGAATGTGTCACTGAACGTGAACATGACTTAGAAGGGTCTGATGCAGAGGTAGTGGAGGAAATTGTGTCCATGGGCAAGAGTATGGGTCTGGACGTTGATTGTGCTGATGTGGAAGAGCTTGTTGAGGAACATAGGGAGGAGCTGACCACGAAAGAACTTTCTGAACTCCACAGTGAGCAACAGAAGGCACTTCTTGAGGAGCATTCCACTGAGAAAGAGGAAGAAAGGGAGGAGGTTAGCAGTGATGCCATGAAATCCATTATGCAAAAATGGAATGAGTGCCATGACTTTTTTGAAAAGCACCACCCCAACATAGCTGTCACGAACAGAGTGTTAAATCTCATGAATGATAATGTGGTCTCTCATTTCCGGAGGGTTATGCAGCGCAGGAAGAGACAAGTGACATTGGACAGATTTTTCAGCAAAACTGAGCCTGCAGCTAGGAGACAAAGGAGAGAGGAAACCCCTGAAGGAGATCCCCCTGATGTCCTTATGGAGGGGGACTCTCCCTCCAAACAATAACCGCCTCCCACCCGCCTCCCACCTGCCTTCCTCCATGCCAGAAGTCATCTCAAGCAAGGTTACTGTTCTCTCTTTATACATTACTATACTGTACAGTACTACAGTAATGTGTATTGTCATTTGTTTCATATTTTTGTGCTTCAAAAACCAAAAAAAAAGGTCAGAACGGATTAACCAGATTTACATTGAACCCTATGGGAAAATGTGCCTCGGTTCACGACCAGAGTCATTTCACGAATTAAGTTCGTGAACCGAGGTATCACTGTACTCTGTGTGTGCGTGTCTACCTTCCAATCTGGGCAAAGTCCCATCAGTGAGTTCCTCCGGCAAGCAAGGCTGCATTGGCTGGGTCATGTAGCCCGCATGCCCAGCCACCGCATGCCTTTAACAGCTTTTGTTTGGCCGGATCGAGGGGGCTAAACGGGCACGGCACGGGCTAGAGAAGAGATGGAGTGATGGAGTGATGTGGTACAGGAGGACGTGGAGCTGAGTGGACTTGCCGATGACTAGTACCAGCGGTGTTAAGATCGGCCTCTAGAGGAGGCTCGTGAAGGACGCTACTGGGCAGTTGGAGGCAGTCGCCCTCCAGCAACAGCGGAGGGCGGAGGAGCGACGCTCACAACAACGAGCGGAGCGCCGGGTGGTTAAAGCACAGCAAGTTGGCACAGTAGGGGGCACAGGTGGTGCATCAGCGAGTCATCTCGGTCAGTCGACCCATGGCACCTGGGTCTGCCCCGTGACCTCCTGCCTGCGGGCGTTCGACACTTCACGTGGCCTCAAGGTGCACCTAGCCTGGCACAAGCGCCGTGGTGACGTCACCGCCACTTGCTGGCGAATGGCGGTAGTTGTTGTTGTTGTGCCGACAGTATTTGTCGCTCGTGTCTGCTCATGCCCCGTGCCGCTGTGCCCTCCGCCCGTGTCAGCGAGCACCCGTGGTTCAGCGTGGACCTCCCCGAGCACCTCTTCCCGGTGCTGGGCGAGGAGCCGTGGGACGACGACACGCTGGACATGGACGCCGTGGAGGAGGTGTCCGTCAAGTGCGAGTGTAGCCAGGAGGACGTGCTCGACTCGCTCGACTCCGACGACCTCCAGGTGCGCGGCGCTCGGCGGGGGTTGGTGGGTCACCGCACACACTCCCCTCCCGTGGGCGGCGAGGAGGAGGAGACCGTACCCCTGGCTCGCCAGCAGAAGGCGGCACAGCAAGTGGGATAATCGCCATCTGTGTCCATCTGTACGCGGGGGATCGAGCGTTTTCCCCTTACCACAAGGCATGCTCTGGTTCCTTCCACGCGTGTATAATAGTTTAACACGTCGGCTTTCTATAGTCAAGGTTTTCAGAATTACTGGCGAAACGTCGTACTCGGATTGTGAATGTTGTGGCTTGGCTCTCCCACACGCAACCGGTGTAGTGCTGTACTGGTACACTACACTATACTATACACTACACTATACACTATACTATACACTACATACTAGTGCTGTATTAGTATACTACACTATACACTACACTACATACTAGTGCTGTACTAGTAACGAATTAGCGTGTTCTGTTTACATGACAAACCCTACTAATTGGCTGTGTCGGCTGGTGGCGGGTTTAACGACACATTCAATGACCCAATGTAACCCAAAAGACCTGTAATTACGCCTGCATAATAGTCATTGAAAACGTCTTTTTTTTTTAATTAAAACACAACAAAATGCTTCTGCTGCAGCAGTAGCAGGGAACCGCCCTCCTACGGCCTGGGGCTATCCTGGACAAGTGAAATGAATGATTATTTTACTCATCTCTTCGAAAGAACCAAGGAGTTAAATTTTGATTTAAAGCTTTCGTGACTGCAGGGATTCATCTTCTTGGTTCTTTCGGTAAAGTCACGTAGAAGGGAAATAATAAAATAATAAAAATAAAACATAATAATATAATTCTCACGACGTTTCGGCCACAACGCAAGCAGCCGTCCTCAGGTTGAGACCAGGTCTGTCGGGGAGACAGCGTCTGCAACATTCAGACGCTGAAACATTCAGACGCCGTCTTATGTTTTATTTTATTATTTTATTATTTCCCTTCTACGTGACTTTACCGAAAGAACCAAGAAGATGAACCAAGGAGTTGATTACTAATGTTCAGTTTTATTGGTGCATCGATGCGTCTGTCCACCGAGCACCAATCCCATCACGCCCCCCCCCCTCCCGCAGGCCCCCCTCACGGTGGCGTACCGCCTGCTGCTGGACAGCCGGCACGCCAAGCCACTGTACGAGGCCGTGGGGGTGCACGCCGGCGCCGCCGGGGGGCTGCTGTGGAGCCCCCCGCGAGTCTTCCTGCCGCCGTGCGGGGACAGCCTCTCCCCCCGCGAAAGGCAAGCGGGGCGAGGGGGAGACCCCCACCACCACCACACGTAGCACACATCACACATCACACACGCGCACACATCACACACGCACATCACGCACATCACACACGCGCACACATCACACACGCACATCACGCACATCACACACGCGCACACATCACACACGCGCACACATCACACACGCGCACACATCACACGCACACATCACACGCACACATCGCACACGCACACATCGCACACGCGCACATCACACACGCACACGCGCACATCACACATCACACACGCACACGCACACATCACACACGCACACGCACACATCACACGCGCACATCACACACGCTCACCACACACGCACACATCACATGTACACATCACACACGCGCACATCACACACGAGCACATCACGCACACATCACACACGCACACATCACACCACGCACACATGTCACACACACATGTCACACACACACATCTCACATCACACACAAACATCCCACACACACACAACCCAGCATAGCCTGAAGAGACTTGGGGCAAGTGCTGTTAGCGAATAGCACCTAATGAAGGCCGGCAAGTCACACGAGGCGGTGGGTGGCCAGCACCACGCCCGTCCGCCTTTGTCTCCCCAGTGGCGATGTTTACACGTCGCAACGGGGGGGGGGGGGGGGGGTGGGGGGGGGGTGCTCGTTTGACATCGGGGGTCACATTGACCTCGGCCTTGAATGAGGAATCTGGCTCCGTGTGTCCAACACGAAGCGCTGGGGACACGGGGGGTCAGCGTGGTGGTGTGGTGGGTGTGGTGGGCGTGGTGGGCGTGGTGGGAGCGTGCCGGCCTTCGCACCCGCCACGCTCTCCAAGCCGCGCTCACCGCGGCAGAACTTCAGGCGACGCGGCTTGAGACTTTTTTTTTCGTCTTTTGCCTTTCACAGGGCGCAGAGCATCGAGAGCCCGGGCTCTCCGCTGGGCGCCGACGGCCTGTCGGGCCGCTGCCCGCTGGGTGCCCTGGACCCCACGCGGCCCAAGCACCTGGTGGTGCAGCGCGCCAAGTGGCACCTCGGCATCCGCAGCCAGAGCCGCCCCGCCGACGTCATGAAGGAGGTGTTCCGCATCATGAAGCACCTCGACTACGAGTGGAAGGTGCGTGTGTGTGTGCGTGTGTGTGCGTGTGTGCGTGTGCGGGAGGTGGGTGGGCCTGCGCTACGCTACGAACCCGCTCGCCCGATGGTTCAATTCCCGCTGGTGCGGTCAACATCGGTGACGACCCCTAAGAACGTGACCCCCTTTGTGTGGCGTGTGAAGAGACTCGGTGCTGACCACCCACCGCGCCCTTGGCGTGGCGTGCCGGCCTTCACAGACAGCCACGGGCGAGGGGGGGGGAAACACAACGCCTTTCGTGCACGCGTGTAATGCGTTGCGTGTGTAGCGTGTAACGTATGGGTGGTCGCACTGCACTACGAACCCGGCGACCCCGAGGTTCGATTACGGCTCGCGGTCAACACCAGGTGACCGCTTATCTGGGCCCCCCTCCCCTAGGTCGACTCGGCCTCAAACGAGTACCTGTCGCGGCGTGTAAACGTCTTCACGGTGGCGTGCGTGCCGACAACCCCTTGCCAGCGCCTCGACCTTATTACAGACCAACTCGGACCGTATCGGTCACCCCGGGGTCCTTCTAAAACTCAACGTTCATCCTTCAAAGTCCCGTCGCGAGGGAGGAATGGAAACAAACGGACAACGAAACTTTCATTTGCCCGTATTGATACGGCCATACGCCGTACGGACCCCAGTCCCTGCACGAGAACACGGGGTCAACCCGGTAATTGTTTGACGGCGAATGCGGCGGCGCTCGCCGCATGACCCGCCCGTGCGCCGTGCTCGCCCCAACGGTCGCGCTTCGCCCACAACGAGTCTCTTAACGCGACAACGTGGCGGTGGTGGCGGTGGTGGGGGGCACTGTCGTCCTTTTGCAGGTGGTGAACCCCTTTGCCCTGCGAGTGCGGCGGCGCAACCCCGTGACGGGCAGCACGGTGAAGCTCAGCCTGCAGCTCTACCAGGTGCAGGGCCGCAACTACCTGCTGGACTTCCGCAGCGTGGACGGTGAGCGGCACCTTGACGCGCCGCGCACCGCCACCACGACTGGCCGTGGTGGCGCTGACGATGCGCCAGCTCGCACACCTCTTCACTCCCCCACCCCCACGCCTCTTCACTCTCCCACACCTTCACTCTCCCACCCCCACACCTCTTCGCAGAGGAGGGCGCGTCCGGAGGCTCCACGCCCCAGCGGAGCGGCTCTCTGTGCGGCGGCCGTCCCCGCCTCTACACGGACCCCGTGGCCTGCGCCCCGCGCCGCGCCGCCGCCCGTCGCCACCAGAGCGGCGACGGCCTCCGGCCCGGCGGCGGCAGCAGCGGCGGCAGCAGCTGCGGCGCCAACACCGGCGACGGCTGCACGGGGATGGCGGCCGCCCCCGGCGTGTACAGCACGACGCTGGCCACCGCCGTGAACCCGGCGCCGGTCTCGCCGGCCAGCCTGCCGCGCTCGCTCGGCACCTACCTGGCGAGCCGCGGCGTCGTCAACGCCTGGGCCACGGGCGACGGCCGCCAGAGCCGGCGCGACGCGGCCCTCGCGCACTTCACCATCGGCGCCGGCTCCAACGCCACCACCTCCACGTCGTCCTCGTCCGACGCCGGCGTCGCGTCGCCAGAGTCGGACGGCGCCGGCGGCGGCGACGCGGCCGCCTCGCCGGCGTCGCCCGTCCCGCCCACGTCGCCGACGGCCTACGCCGCCGCGTACAGCCTGCTCGCCGACTCGAAGGCCGGCTCGCCACCGGGGCCGCCGTTCGGTCGGCCGCACGAGTCCGGTGCCCACGCCGCCGCCGCCGCCGCCCCGCCCCGGGTGGGCAGCACCACCATCGAGTTCTTCGAGATGTGCCACGACCTCATCAGGCTGCTGGCGCACTGACGCCAGCAGCCTGGCCGCTGAGTCTCGGGCGGCTGCCGGGCTGTCGGCAGGCAGTGGTTGCCGGTGTTGTTTGTGGTGCTGGGTGGGGATGGTGGTTGTGGTGGTGGCGGTGGGTGGTGCTGGGTGGTTGTTGTTTCTTCAACGGGAGCCGCGTGGACCGGAGTAGGAGGTGGGGGGGTCGCACTGGGTCGACCCCGGGCAACGCTAACGACGGCTCGTTGATTTAATCGGGTTTATATATTTCTTGTTAATGGATTCCTTCCCAACTTCTTTGCGATTCGCTTCACGTGACCCCTGCACAGCCGCCTCCATTCAGTGTGAAGTAATCTCCGTGCCCGTGCCGAATCGTGGCGACGCGTGCGATCTCCAGCTGCTGCCTTGCCTCCTCCGCCGCAGACCCACGCGACCTCCGCTTTGCCGGACGTGAGACGCCAACGTTCGTGCCGTAACTCAATGTTTTGGTTTAGTTTTGTGTTCGTCTGCGGCGGGTTCGGTCACCCGTCCTGCGCTCGGCGTGTTCGGTCGCTGCGCGTGGCTCGTGCCTCACGGATTATTATCAAAAAATATTTGAGGAGCGGCCTTCCCCGTGGCGTTCATAACGAAGAGTTGGTGCACCCTGGCGACAAATCGATCGGTCCATGGCGACCCTCGTGAGCTCGTTTCTCGCCGCGCTGCCGCGTCCCCCCCCCCCCCCAACCTTTTAGCGGCTTTACTGACGTGCCAAAAATTAAATCACATTTGTGCCACGATTGCCGTTCAACGACTTACCTGCAAGTGGCTCATCTGCCCCCCCCTCCCGCCGTCTTCGGCTGACACCGCGTTCTGGTCTTAAAGCCTGGTGCTCCGCAAGCGTGCTTGGAAAATGCCCGGCGACAAACCGGTTGTCGCCCGGGGTCACCTGCCGTGTGCACGTGGTACAGCGCGGAGGGAGGGAGCGAGGGAGCGGGTTGCCGGTTAGCCGACCGGTTAATGGATGGGTGGGTTCGGTTTGTACCGTGGTTGTTTTTGTTATTGGTAAGCAAGGAGAGTCAACTGGCTCGTCGGATAATCCCGTTTGTCGCGTTGGACAGTTTTGTGTCATCCGGATATGTCCCAAGTCACTGGTCGGTTACCGATTATTATTTTTTTTTTTTCAAACCGGATGAGTGTTTAATTTATCAACAAAATTAACGGTGAACTGTTTAAACTTGTTGGCTGCTTCATCGGTTACCCGGGTGTGGATGTTTATATTGGCGCTATTTTTCTAGTTCCATGTTGATCTGGCTGCTTCTTGCTAGGTCGGGATTCTCAGCTGCCACGTCTGGCTGGTCCCTAGCACCGGCTGTTACCTGGTTGCTTGTGAAACCGACTCATCTGCTTGTCTGCAGGACTGGTTACTTGGTAATTTGCAAGACCGATTGTTCTGGTTATAGGTGTAGCGCTGGTTACCTGCCGATGTTTATATGACCGGTGACTTGGCTTTATTGTAAGACTTTTTTTTTACCTGATTATCTGGAGGATGGGGGACGCTGCATTGTGGGCTTTAGGCCTTTGTCCAGGGGGCAGTCTCTCAGTGTTTCTGATGGCACTGTCCATCTGTCTGTCTGTCTGTGTCTCTCTCGAACCTTGCGGACCCCGAGGCTCTCCTGTGAGATCGATCGATCGCCAAGTCTGACGACCACCCCGGTGCTCAGAGCCAAGCCTTCTTCATCCCAAGCACTTTAAAAACTCAACTAAAACTGTAAAGATTAATCAAAGTAGCATCATGTTTGTTCCCCCACCCACCCCCTCTCTCGTCTCTCTTCGGCACGGAAGCGTTGCCACTTGGTTGCCGAATCATTTCAAAGCAATATCTGGCGCGGTGCAGCGAGGCTGCCGAGTTGACTGCGGTGGCGCGTTTCTCGGGGGTAAAACTTTCTCTATTTTGTTTTACCGGCGTCGTTTGCCGCGTCGATGCGATCCCACCGCCCCTCGTGTGCACGCCGTCTTCTCGTGTAAATACTCCTATCAGCTGGTGGCGCTGGCTGTAGGACAATCTCCCCTCAAGGCTCCCAAGTCGTTGTCGGGACCCCCCCCCCCCCACATGAGAGGAGTGAAACCAAACATCGGCCCGAATTGAAATCCTAGCAACCAGCCAAGATGATGAACAAAAATAGAACCTCACATCTCTCTCCATTTGTCGAAAGCTCATCTCGTATCTGTCGTTATCAGTCCTCTCACCGCATCCGTCTTGACCCCCCCCCCCCCCCACTTCTGTCACCTCCGCTATGATTGTTAGAAATTGCGTGGTGGGGGCGGGGGTAGCCCCCCACACCCCATCAAACACCACGAGGACGGAGTCGTGGCGGAGATGCCTCGACAAGTCCCTCCCCCCCCACCCAATACTCCCATCTGTGCGTTCAAGAGGGTCTCCTGGTCTGACATTGGCGGGGACGTTTTGGGCCACTTCTTGCCAAAGGGGCGCTGCTCCACTTCTGCGTGTGAACCTGCTCTTGATCCTACTTGCCGTGCTGCCCACCGCCCTGGGGCAAGCTTGCCCCCCCCCCCCCGCTCTGTCCGCCAACCCCGTGGGGGGGGTCGTCGTGTCTCCGCGAGTATTCCCCACTTTGTAAAACTCTCGAGGAGAGTTGCGGTGTTTCTCCTTGCAGGTCGGGGGCTGCTAAGGTTGGAGCCCGGGGCGGCGATTTGAGAACAAATCTGCAATGGTCGGTTTAGTCGAGTACTGTACACGGTTGTTGTTTTTTAAAATATCACTTTTGGTACGGAATATAAAAAAAACAACCTCTAAATTAATTGCTATCAATGCATGTAAGATAAATATTGTCTACGATTTAAAAATAAATATATATTCTTAATGTTATCTACAAAAATGTGAACAAAATTTTTGCATCTTATACTGTGCTGTGCCATTCAATTTACTGGTTTGGAGAAATGAAAAAAAATGTTGAGCACCATTTAAATAAAACCCACCCCCCCTCCCCCTGTTTTTATTGCGTGATGGTTTCGTCCGAGTGGCCCAGCTGCTTGTGGCTACGGATGGGTGAGGACGGATCCATTTGAACGTGGGGGGCATTTGCATCCCAAATGAAAGTGTGTGGATCCGGCCACCTCAATCCTCTTCCAATACAAATCAAGGGTCGCTTGGACTGCCATCTCGTTACTCGGTGGGGGTTGGGGGGGGCGGGGGATGATGGGTCACACGCTGTGCTGTGCTTTATAAAGTCCACTCCAGGTTGTCGAGATATTTTTGAATGTTTGTGTTTTTGACACACGAATGTAAGACGGGCTTCTGGAACGGTGAATAAAAATGCAAAGAACGTCCATCTCGTCATTTTTGTATTTTTTAAATAACACATTGTCCTGCGGAGGGAGCTGGTAGGAACGTTGGGTTGCTCGGTCAATGGCCAGGGTCAACGGTGGCGTGGTGTATTCCGCAAATATGCCCGACTGTGAGGGCGGGCACAAGCCGGCGTGAGTAGGTTAAATGTTGAGTTTTATAAGGGCACCACGGGGTGACCAGCCCCTCCCCACCCCAGCCCCACCCCTCCCACCCCCCACCCAGCCCCACCCAGTCCCTCTCCACCCAGCCCCACCCCTCCCACCCTCCCCACCCAGCCCCTCCCTGCACGACGGACGGACAGAAGAATCCCCTGCGGGCTGGTGTAACCAGGAGGTTCCTACCAGTATAACTTTAATCAGTCATCCCTCTCTGACACTGTCCGCCTTTTGGCGCTGTTCTCTGGACTAAAATGACTAAGCCATTTCAAGAAGGCCGCCGTCTCGTGTGGAGGCCAATCCGTTTCAAAAACATTGTCGGAGCATGTTTGTTTAACACGTAGTAGCAGGCTTTCGCAACCAATATTCTAAAGTTTTTTTTTTTATCGCGTAAGTCTAAATGTGTCCGTAACCCTCCACCACGCGACACGGCCAATTGTTAGTAAGGGGATTTGTCACGTAAATAAAACGCGTGCCAATTGGTGACTACCATCGGTGTATTGGAGTGTAAATCCGCAACATTTACAAATTGGAGTTCGACGTTTCACTGGTGACCTTCATCGAAGCTGGCACGGTGGGATCCATTTTTAGCTGAGCCCAGGCCCATTTGCACGTGCATTGCTCCCTCCCGTACATCAAATACAAGGGTGAAAACCCCGTTGAGGCATGATAAACAGGTCCCAGTCCGACTGGTCGCGTTCACTTGGTGGCATAGCATGGAAGTGAGGGTTCCATTTAAACGCTCCATCATCCCATCGGTTTGAGGGTGAGTAGGGCGAGGTACGGATTTACTTTGTACCGACGAGGTCCCAGATCTTGTTGAGCTGTAGAAGAAAAATTCCGACCGTGGTCGGTCAGAATCTGCTCCAGGTGTACACCCTCATCTAGAATGTAGCCGTGCAAAAAAGCGTCGGTCATGGACGAGGCCGACTTGATCTTGTAAGGGCCACACCATGGGCCGGCAGATGCTTGTGGCCTCGCTGAGAAGTTGGGAATGGGCCCAAAATGTCAAGGGCCACAAGTTTGTTGACGCGAGGAAGCCGTAGGCTTCAGACGCGCGCAATCCTGGCAGCCTTTAACAAATAGCGCCACGTCGCTTTCCCTGCCCGGCTAGTAGTAGCCGCGCTTAACGGTCAACAAGGTTTCGTGGGTCCCGAGGTGCATCAATTTCTCGTGAATTACACGAGTCTTTACACCATTGGAACCTAATTTGCCAGTAGAAAAAGTGCGCCTTTTGTCGTCATCTGGTCCAACACCATGTGAGACTAGGCTCTAAGGAAAGCTGTCTCGGGTGTGGACCAATCCACTTCAAGGACAGTGCATACATTATCAGAGTTATATTTTTTGTTTGCATTATGACTGCAGGTATTGTGGTCTATGCAAACATGACTCCTCGTAAAAAAAAGGTGTCAGTTTTGTTGCCAGATAGAAGGGTAAAAAGACAATTATTACACGAGTCTGTTTCCGCCGCAGGTCTGTGGGCACCACAATACAGGACCTCTCCAGCTACGCGTCCCAACGCACGAGGAGGCCGTCATGCAGGGCAACGGCCGGGTAGGTCGTCGGGCTTGAGTCATGCTTGCCAGATTGAACCCTGCGCCGACATTTCAACAGAGGTATCTGTGGGCGAGACTATTCATCGCGAGGGGGACCAAGGCCACAACCCTCGAGGTGAGCCGCTGCTCTGGGGCATGGAGTCAACTGGAGCTCTGCAACGATTCGAGGCAGTCGTGCTTGCACACCTCCTGTCCTGTGGCAAGCGAGATGATGCATCCGCATTTCCGTGCTGTGCCCCCTTCCTGTGAACGCATCCTCCTGCAGCACCTCAAGCCAGCGGGACAACTGACCTCAGGGTTGATCTATGCGCAAGGAGGATTGTAAGGCGGCATGGTCCGTCCGTATGGTGATCCGCCTGCCATACAAGTCGGGCTCGTACAACTGGATGACGTACACAATGGAAATTCGTTATTTTCTTTGGACCTATCAGCTACGTGACTTTACTGAAAGACGAGACCAGTTTGAGGCTTTTGAAAGGGCAGCCTTAAATGTGACGGGTATCTCAGTCGTAATAAAATCACGATCTTCAGCGAAAGAGGAAACGCAAAACATTTGCAGATGAGAGCTCGGAGGCAGACGTGACACTTGAGGGGAGGGAGAGGTTCAAAATAGAAACATTGTATGTGGTCATTGATCAGCTGGTGGCATGCCTTGGGTGTCTAACAGTGATGTCACAGTGGAAAAGGTAAATGCACTCTCCGCTGCATATCCATCAGACCTGGACATGAACTTTGCCAACGAACTCATCCAATTCAAGTCTCTCACGCCTGACTCTGAGAAGTGCCCAACTAAATCGCTTGAGTCGTTGCAGGCACTTCAGCTGCTAGTCGGCGTTCTCCAAAAGATGTGCCCAGGAGCTTCACAGGACCATGATCCGGACCTTCCAAGGGCTGCTTTGCGACGTCCCAGCGGAGCCATCCCCACCCCACCCCTCCTCTGAACGACGGTAATCGGGTCCCAACAAGCGGTCGTTAGGTGATTTAGTCGTTCAGCGAGTACGGGAAATGCATGTGGAAGGCAAGATTCGTTTCGGGCAGCATCGAAAGTTACCCCTACCCCCTCGCCCCCACCCCCTCGCCTTTTTTCACCCAAAATGACCTACAGTACTTTATGACATTTAAACAAATGGACAATAGATGAAGATGCTAACATCAATATAAGCGCATTAAAGGAAACGTGGTGAATCAATGCATTGCTATTGACTACTGGCAACAGCCCATCGTGAACAGGGGAATGGTAGGTGAACAAACATTTGGCTCTATGGAGGCACTACACTATACACGACTACACTATACACTACAACAACCACCATTCGCCACTAAGTGGCGGTGACGTCACCACGACGCTTATGCCAGGCCATGTGCACTTTGAGGCCACGTATACACTATACGCTACACTATACACTACTATACACTATACATTGGGCTCTATGGTGGCACTACACTACAATACACTACACCACTATACAATACATTACTATACACTGCACTATACATTACACACTACACTGCTATACACTCCACTATACACTGCACATTGGGCTCTATGGAGGCCTGTCGTGGAATTGCTCGTTAACAGCGATGGTCGCTCAGATGGGTTCCACTGTGTTCACATTCATTGCGGCTCAATAAATTCGAGTTTTATTTTTTTACCGAACTGCGCTTGGACCAGAGCAGCCTCACAATTTACCGAGCAATCCTCCCCGGGGGATCACAAAAGCGGAGCCAAGGGGGAAATAACCCCCCCCCACCACCACTGCTGCCCCCCCCCAAATCAAATCACGGCCTGTTGCACCACACCTCGGGACTGGGACACGGCCGCAAGCAACCCCCGAAGCGATCGCGACCTCGGCAGTCTGGAGGGTCGTGGGAATTGTTTTTATTAATGCATACAATATCACCGCCATCACATTATGTACACTTGTTGAAGAACAAAAGAAATCCGAGCAAAAGAAACGTCGAGTCGTCGGGCGCAGAGAGGCATCCGGCCCAAAATCCCAGGCGACTTTCCTCGCACGCGCAACACAGAGACGACCCCTCTAGTCACACAAGTCGGCGGAGACGATAAGACCACACACACACACGGTCTCAGAATCAACACACGGTCTCAAAATCAACACAAAGTCCCAGACCAAACTCGGCTCCCCGTCATACACTTCCACTTGTCTGGTGATGACGGTGACGACGCTGCCGATCGCGACGACGCTGGACATCGAGACATAGAAAATATCTCCGAGTCCATTCGGATTGTGGGTGGGCGGGGGGGGTCCACATGATGCACTGTGGCTCCCCATCAGCCCTCACGGGTTCACCTTGGCAACCTTCCCCCCCCCCCCAAACCTGACCATGACGAGGGCTCCAGCCTTCAACTGGGTCTGCCCGGCACGGCGACCCCCGAACAAATATCTCTGCTCCTCCCAGCGAACCGCATTCGGTATGCCTCTCGCCGTGGCGACGTGTCGCTTGCCATCTACAAAATGACCTCGTAAATATTCAGTGACGGATTAGGCCTCACCGTGGCTGTGCCTACCATTATTACGTTGTCACCTACTCCACCCTACCAGCGACCCCCCACCAAAAAATTGAGGAAAAAATAATCCCTCGGCTCCGCTCGTCACCCTGTCTCGATCGAACGTCACAGCAGACGGGGCGGGCGACCCGCGGAGTGAAGGAGAGACGGCCATTGGAGTAGTCGGGGAGCGCCTCGGCTACGCGGCGCCGGTTCCGTGCCGTTTCACGCGCGAGTCCACGCCGCAGACGGCGGCTCCAAAGGCCGAGGGATTTGGCGAACCTGGACGCTCTGCTTGGGTCGCCGGGGATGGCGATGGCGAGCTCACACGCAGGGTAGCAGGCGGCAGCTTCACTTGTCGGGAGGAGGGGGGCGGCGGGGCTGAATCACGGGTGGTGGAGGCGGTTGTGGGGGGGGGGGTCACAGGTAGACACGGCGGAGGTCGCGAGGCGACGTGATGGCGTTGCAGCGAGGGCACAGCTTCTTGGCACCCTACGGAAGGCGGGGAAATAATGGTGGTCACACGGTTGTCAAGACGGTAACGCCAGCGTGTTGTGAGCAATGCCATTGGGAGGGGAGGGGGGGGGCTGACGCTAATTGGCTCATTATCCTCGTAGCGTTCACGACGACTAAAGTGACGAACGTGTGAGGGGCTGTTAACCCCTCTCCGCCTTCAATAAATTACCAAACACAATACTGAAATTCGAAACTCAAGAGGAGCTTTGTGGGTATTTTGTAAAACATGGATCCTGATGGCACC